GGGGTCGGCGTCCCCCTCATCGGTAAAGTATAATCACTTTCAGTATGTGAGCGGAATTTGAAAGTTTGACCGGTCGCGCGTTTCGTAACGAAAACTTTTCCTGAAGAAAACGCGAAGTTTTCAGCGGAAAATAACGGTGAAAGTGGCCGGGCGAGTTTGAGGTTACGCGAGGTGAACGCGGCGTGATCGCGAACGCGCAGGTGCCGAAGGGGAGGAGGGTGTCGACGTTGTTTTGTTGTCGGAGGCTCTATCATTGCCTCGTTCGTAATGCGAGATCTTTTCGTAATTTCTTGTTTCATTAAACCGGTGACGTTATATCTGATAATAATTTTGCCGAATTTGATTTGATTAATTTCTTGTACAGTGCGTTCAATTTAACTTGATAACATTTTAGTTGGTTGTAACCTTTTTGTTTTTAGAGAAGTCAAGGTAAACAAAAAATCAAAACGTAGGGTTAGTAGGCAAGTTTTTTCCAAATGACGTATAAAACAAAACACTATCAATTTTCTGACATAATGCTACATCATATTTTTCTTTAATAGAACACCCTGTATATTATATTGTGTTTAATATGTAACACACTTTATATTTTAGTCCACTCGTTTTTGACAAATCGGCAAAAATAGGAAATGTTTATATAATTTCAAGGGATGTCGTGATTGCAACAACCATAATTATTTACAAATTAAAGTAGAAGAAAAAACACTTAAAATGACAAGACACACTAAATTAACAAATTCTAAATACTGCTATATGTGACCACAATTTTCCTGAACACATTCCTCATACACTCTAAGTGTATGACGTCTTGCATTTAGTAACGTTCCCGGATTGTCTCTTAACTGATTGATTGCCTCTGAAATCCTTTTCCGAAGTTCCACGACATTATTTCAAGAAATTCTGTGCATGTGATTTGTCATGTGTCCTCAAAAGAAAAAATCTATTTAAAGTTAAGTCGGTGCTGGCCAATCCATAGTTCGGGCCGTTGCCTGTCCAACCCCTGGGATATTCCATGTTAAGAGTAGTGATATATTTAGGGGTAAAGCTTCTATATATTGATCTATTTGGTGCTCTAAGAGTTGCAAATAATGATGTCCAGGTAATTTTCGATCTATACATATCGGACCCAAAATATGCCGATCTATCACACCACACCATGCATTAATTGACTGGTAAAGTCTGTTCATAGATATAAGAACGTGACTAACTGGTACGAATTAAGGAAAGACCCGGGCAAGCTGTAAGAATGAAATATGGCCAAACAGATCCGTATTTTGCTTGGAATTTAATTGTTTGGGGTTTTGTTAGGAAAGATACTAAACAATATTTGTTTATTTATGTATGTCTTTATGTTTAAATCTAAAATAAAATTACAAATTATTTTTATAACCTACTTAAATTACTTAAAATTATTCACATAATATATCACTATCGTTATCATCGCCTATTCTAATTATTATTTGTTCTATATTATTTGCAATATGGATATACGATTGTTCTACTTTTTCTAAATGTTTAACAGAATTTGACCAACCTCGTAGAGGGATGTTAAAAACTTCGGTTTCTATAAGTTTGAGGACGTTGGAGTTAACACGGGGAAAAACATTGTTATGACGAATGGCAGATTTCAGTTGGTGCTAAACATGTTCAATGGGATTAAATATACAGTGGTATTCCTTTTGTAGGTTCAAGCTTCGTAGAACTTCAATTAATTGCTTTTTGGTATAATCTTCGTGAAAATAAATGTCGTTATTATACATGTAGGTTTGGATTGTTGCTTCTATCTACTGTGATAACTTGCATTGTCCATTACAATTACACTATGGGAGGAATGTTTGGAATTAGTTTGTTTTTAAACAAACTCTCAAATAAATCAGCTGCTACGTCTCTTTTCCACTGAAGGTGGAGGGGAGACCGAAGCAATCCTACTATACTTTGCTCACTTTGCTACCGATTGGAAGCAGTAAGTATAGGGCCCAAACAGCTCAGTTTCTCAAAATATGGGCGGGGTATAAAAAAAAGTAAATAAATTAAAGGTTGGAAACCAGCTAGGACAAAACCCTAACCTATACTATAAGTTAGTCATAGTGACTAGTGTCCTTGCTCACTAGCCACCAAAGAAACTCACAAAGTTAACAAAGTTCGAACCCAAATAACCAAAAACCAAATAAATAATTAATAAATAAGACCGGCACGTCAGTTTAAATCTCCATATATTGGCTCAAGTACACACTAAGCACAGGAAGCTTGGTTACGATCGATTGTTTACAAATAATTCTTACAAAAAATGTTTCTATAATCATGTACTTTATCTCTACCCTAACTGAGCTCTTTAATTTATATTGACATTTAAAAATTGAAATTTGTATTTAATAGGCATAAAATTAACCGGAACATAAATAGAGGCTTATCTGTGATCCTCCAGTTACCAGCAACGAACGAGTCGGGCAAGCTTTAGATGGCTGTTCTGTATACTGCCTACGGGTTCACCAGTCAGTGGGATAGGCACGAATGATTATCACTCTTGAACGAGGAGATATGCACTGCAACGTCCTGAACCGAGCTAACTTGAAGACTTGACGAATTCTTGGGTTGCAGAATTCATAACACGTGCCGTCCACGAAGTAAGGAGGCGCCAAATCCAATTGAACCGGAACTAGGGAAGCCAGTACCAAATGGGAAGCCAAAACCAGACCAACAATCAAAACTAGTTCCAAAAGAAAAAACAAATCCAAAACCAAAACCCTACAAAACAAAACAATGAGTTGCGGTGTTCATAATTACTTGCAAAGCGTGAAATAAATTGTGAAACTTACGCCTGATGATCGTGGGTGGCGGTGAAGAGTGCCAGGTGCTAGGTTGGTTAGCTTTAATCCAGTCTAAGCTGTAATGTTGGGGACGTCCAAGTAAAATACTACCAACAAGACGACGATCCGCAACTTCTATACGATTTCAATTCGGTTTAATCTTCGAAAACTACGAGATGTCACAAACTTATTCGGATTGAAATTTTGCAACCACTTGCACCGGCGGAAATCGTAAAGCCAAAGAAAGAAAGACCGATGAAGTTTCACAAAGTTCCAAAAAAAAAGACCGACTAGGGTCAATGGGCCAATAATGACAGAAGTTAATCAACGCAAGGAAACCAAATATTACCTAACTACTACCCGCTATTACCAATAATAATCAATTATTACACACACATGAATGAGATTACACAGTAACGTCTTAGAAAATCGAAGACGAACGTGGGCTAAAGGTCGAGTGCTTAACTGTACTAATGGCCGGGTGCATTCGCATTGACAGAGGATTGAAATATAACCTCTCCAAAAAGCAACAAGTGTAAATAAATGAAAGCAAGGGACAAGAATAGAAATTGCCGTTAGTTCGGAAATAAGAAGGAATACAGGACGATTGTCTCGTGCAATCCAACCGCATTCCGCTGTAACATCTCAAATTGCAGCAAAAATGCAAGGACTTACACTTATTACATTTATTTTAGGACAGGCAAACCACACCAAGCAATTAAACAGTTACAGTGTGTTCGAACAGAATGAAGTAGTGAAAAATAGTTAGCAAAAACAGTAGCTTTGAGGATTAAGACAGTGTGTAATTGTGAGAATAAAACATTTAATAGGTAGTCTCCGAGCATTATTAACCTACATGTGAGAAACATAAGTCGAAGTAGCCAATGACAAATTGAACCCGTTACACAGCGGTGGTGTCTTCATGGTAATCCAGAGAAGAATCTTTAATATTTTTCGCAGACAGAGAAAATCTTTAGAGCCAGCATTCAAAATAGTTATTCTTTTACCTCTTCTTGATGGCGCGTTTTTTTTACACTTATCAGTTGAGTCAACCCAACCCTTTTCCGGAGTATCATATGTGTTGAACCAGGTTACATCCATGTAAATAATTGGCCTTTATTGTTCTCTGTAAATCCGATTTATTTCTAGATATTCCAGTAGCCATTTCCGAATTCTAAAAGATTCCATTAAAACTTGCCTTTTGTCAATTTTTTAAATCTAAAACCAAACCCATGTGTTGTATAACTTCCATAAGGTAGTTCTGCCACATTTAACACCGGTTGAATAATCCCATTCAAAAGCAATTGGTCACTTTCTTATTTCTATGAACAGACCACATCCCCGCGTATTTTGTCTATTACAAGTCATTCTTGTGGTGAACGAACTTTCATTAGCTCATAAAATGTTTTTCAAGAAATTATTATTTTTATTATGTCTATTTAAAAAACTCAAACAAAACTGGATCCTCTTTTGACATTCTTCTGCACTTAGTTTTTGAATTTGACGAAATTTAAGAGAATTATATTTATATTCTTTCAAAACTGAGTGGATCGATCCCCGAGAAATAGCTGTTGGAAATATCTGTTTTGACGGAGCTCGGCGCTCTGTCAGAAAATTGATAGTTTTGTTTTATACGTCACTTGTAAAAAAACTTGGTTACTAACGCTACATTTTGTTTTTTTGTTTACCTTGATATCTCTAAAAACAAAAAAGTTACAGCCAATTAAAATATTATCAAGATAAATTCAACGCGCGGTGCAATAGATTGCAACCTGTACCAATGTCTAGAGAAATTTTAGTGACAAACTAATTACGTGTAGTATGATTTTAATGTTTTCCTATGGCAGCAACCTTCACAATTTTTAATGTTGACTGTTTTGCAATTCATTTATTTAAATAATAAAAATTCTTAATTCACGCAAAGTCACAAAATACAATTATTCTGGCTGATAAAAAATGGATGCAAATTAACTACTCCCAAAAATGAGATGTTCCTAAAGATATTTAATTACAGATAAGAGCCGAGTATTGCGCCCAGAAAACGGAATCACGGATATATGTGGAGTTAGCGACGAATAAAGAACTTTGCATTTGCACCTATATTTTTATGAAAACTAAAAATTGCAACAATGAATTGTTATTAAATAACAAAAGTTGAGGGGTCATCCCGGAGACAAAACTAACCAAAACTACGAACTACGAAGAAAATTGGCGTTGTTGCCAAGTTGTGACGGAAATATGAAAATCTTGTCATACTTTGGGATTTGTCAACCATTTGTCAACCATCAATCATAAAAGTCAAATAAATTTTACAAATAACTAGTAAATATATCTCTAGAATACCCAATTATACACCGATTTTAAGACGTCAGCTTTGTTACCTACGGCTGCGAGCTATTTCGGACATTTCCAGGATATTAAGCACGGGTTTGTAAGTAATCAATGTAATGGAAACGTTTGATAAACTCGATGGTTTGATTTAGTTTGGATGTCTTTTCCGCACCCGTCTCTCAAAAAAAAATTAACATTTCAAAGTAATGGACAAAGCGGACTATAGTTGATAGCGTAGGTTGATGAGAGAGCCGTTGAAGAAAACAAACAAACATGTTGAAACGCCTCGCTTGGTACCGCGTACATTCCACCACTCTCTGCGTCTCCCATGGTTTTATCACAAGGTTCAGCTGTGGTTTTATTGTCCCTGATTAAACATTTACCAAAACGAAGCGACCCAAGATAAAGGTCGGCCCAGTCGTGAAGCGTTTTTAAAACGTTTTAAAATTTACGGCCGCCTAAAAAAAGGGGTATAAATATATACCGCAATGGCGGTCTGCCTTCCAGTTTTCGTACGAGTCGCGAGCGTTTTAATGGGCTTTTTACTAATTCCCGATTCGCCGTAATTAAAAAAAGAATTCGGGTGGGTTGCTGCGGGGCACTTAAACGGGCTCGTAAAATTCGAGAAATTACGCTTGGGAGCATTAAAGAAAGTTATAATGTAAGACATAGATCGAATGGTTTTAAATATTTGATCTGATTTTGGTTACCTCACCTGTATTTGAAATTTTATAAAAAGTCACGATATATGAAAAATATGGATTAAGTGAATTAGTTATTTGTTATGGTTGTTATTTAATGTTATTTTTCAAAGGGAAAAAGTAATTTCGTATTTAAATTGTCTATTTCTCTTCTTTTTCTGGTTTACTATTATGTTTTTAATTTTGCAGCAGATAAGTTTTTGCTTTTAAAATATATTCTTATTTCTATGTAAAAATTTATTTAATTAAGTGAAATTGAAAAAAACGGCAGGTCAAATCAATCAGTCATAACTTGGGTGTAATTTTATTTCAAATTATTATTACAATATTTATTATTTTATGTAACTCTAAGACCAAAATAGCAACAGATTATTAACTCTAAAAAGCTTAATTACAAGAGAAATTACTGACTTATGCGTGTGAAAAAAAAATCAAGACCAAAACTTATTAAAGTTATTTTGACGCTGAATTCATTTAAGAACAAGTGTTATTGAGTTTCAGTCTTTTCAATCTTACCGCCTGTATGACTAATAATAATAAAAAAATCAATAAAGGTGGATATAGCATTATTATTTTTTAATTCAAAGCGCTCGTAAACATCTATATGACACTAATCAAATTCTTTATGATGCTTTTCGAGAGACCGAGCTTTTTTTAAAGCGGTATATAAAGCAAAGATCGGGATATTATCGGGGGGTCTAAAATATTTTCACACCTTTTGTTATCTCGGTGTTTACGGGAAAGCTCGTCTGCTAGGTTGGCTTGCGGAATTTGACACTTGATAATTTGAAAATTCCTTTACCGCTTGCTTTGGAATATCAACTTATGATAAATAATACGCCGGTGCAATCGAGCTTGGGCAAACTCCTTTTTTTAACACTGTCGATAACACGATATACTCCCGATCTGCACAAAATATCGAAAAATTAAGCTACTTTCACGATGAAGTGAATTATTTAAAAGTTGGGAATTAAACAAATGACTGTGGAAATCAATAATCATGTAGTTTATGTTAGCGATTTAATATAATATATTTCAATAGACTTTATTGGCCCGTCAAAGGTTAAACAACTTTTGAAAGAACAATAGTTTCTTTCGTTTAAATACATACAAAAAAAGAAAAAAGAGAAATAAGGTTAGTAACATTGATACATTTTCTGAATCGTCGTTGGATATCCACTTGGCAATGTGGCGGCATTGAGAAATAAAACTTTGTATAGTAATAATCGGCCATATTATTAGTTTTATCAATTAATTTATTTGACAATGTTGTTCCCGAAGATTCTCGATGAGATTGAGGTCCAGCGGTTGTGCTGACCATTGAAGTACCTACCTGTGGATTAGTGTCATGGAAGACTGTTTCGGATCATTGTTCTGCTGCCATTCAGCATATGGCAACATAGTATTTTGGAGTATGCTGCTCTGTCCATGGTCCCTTTTATAAAGTGTAATGAACTTCACAAAAACATCTTTCAGGCTTAATTGATGGTATGATACATAGGGCGAAATCTATTATTAATTTACGTCTTATTCCCCTCATTCTGTCAGAATTAAGCATTTTGTAACGATATTCGTCGTCAAATAATATCTTTCTTAAACTTTTAAGTGTCTAGTTCAAATGTCGTTCAAATTCAAAGCTGAAAGGAGCCCTTTGAAAATTTCTCTCAGAAACAGTTTCGCCTCGACTGATCGCCGTTGTACAATCCTCGCGCTAACTTGCAGTCGAAGATTTCTTTACGAAATTCTTTCGATTCTTCAATCAATCCAAAACGTATTTTTCCTGGGCCTTCCGCTTTTGTTTCATTATAATGTGAAATAAGGCTCGAAATACTCTATTTTGGCACATTACACTCCTTGGAAATAGATCTAAGACTTTCCTTCTAAAAGGCGTTTACTGGACCTCCGTCGAGATTGGTTTTCGTTTTTTTATATTTATTTTTCCAAAAATAGGAACCATAAAGCTTAAGGCACCTGCAAAATTTTATGTTATGTTTAAATTTAGCTTTATAGTAACTTGTTGTACTTTTGTCCCGCTTGTAAAATGAATCGTTGCAACAAATATTGATATACTAACCCATGTTTGACATATCTAAATAATATTTCACCATGATCCTTTAAACTACACAATACTGTAACGTGAACCAGGAATTACAGTTACCCCAAAACAGACAATATTAGAATCCAGTACTTGACATAAACGAGACACCGTCGGCCATTTTTCCCCCTCTTCAGCCGCCACCCCCGTCCAAAAAAAAATGAAATCGTCCGGACTTGCGAACAAGAACCCGCCGCCTCCAGCGGCGGCGGCGGCCGTCTCGTTGTCGGTGACAAACAAACAAAAGAGAATCGAACAAAGGGGCATCGGCGCTCTATTTCGGTGATGCTTAATCAACATGGAGGAGCGCAACGAGTCACGTGGCGGCAAGGGCCCGGCCGCCCCCGCGAGGTAAGAAATAAAGAACGCATATACACTGAGAATTTCTTCACTCGATGATCTTTCAGCGGGGTTTCGGAAACCGCGCGCAAATTTTCGGGCCCCATCAGCCCCCTTAGGATGCCGGATTTACCGCTCCCTACTCCGCCTCCGATGGCCAACATTATGACCACGTCGAGGTTCGATTTGCAGACCAGAGGCGGGTGCGGGTACAGACGTATTCTAAGCTCAAGGAGCACCGAATTCAGGTCTCCCACGTTGAGCCCCAGGAGTTTGGAGTATCGGTCGCCAGTTCTGGGTAGGGCGCATTTGTTCCACGGCGGGGAGTCCTACTGGGGCGGAGGATACGCCGGAACCAGTAGAGGTGAGTGAGAAATTCGAGAAAAACGTCTATAACAGGATTACTTTCTCTGCGCTAAGCCACTGCTCAGTATTACGCAATTGTGCCTTCTTCTTTTAAGAAAAGCTCTTTGTTTTTTTTTATCGCGCTACTGCAGACCATTATGTAACTTTGTTACTCTATAAAATGCTTTTCACATAACCAGTCGAAGCACTTCAAAGCTATGCCATACCTTGGCAAATATAAAAACTTATACCAGAAATAGCATTACTATCAATTTTGCGCAACCTGTATGATAGACAAATACCGTAAATACGAAAATTGTAGCTCTCGACGCTGCCTACAATAATTTTTAACCCAAATTGCCCCACTTTTCACGGTTTTTTATTTACGCCTAATAATTTAACTATTTAATAATGATTTTTTTAACTCCCACTCTCAAATTTCAAGTCGCTAGCGGCGAATTTTGGTTAGTTGTACTGTTAACATAGCCCAAAAGGAAGGAAAAATTAGGGTTGCCGTTGTCTGATCGGATTTATAATTCGTTGACAGAATATTGTTACTGGCACAAAAAAACATAAAAACCGTTTTTTTCCAAGCTGTGAAATTCGATTTATGAAAGTAAGCAGATTTAAAATTGTTAAACATATCTTTTACTTCTTCGACATAATTTGCGTTCTTGCAAAATATGGCTTCATTGATTGCATCAGTTTTTTTTTCGAGTTACCTTTCGCAAAACTTAATATTTTTATTGCAGGATCTCTAACTGATCAGCTGGGCTTATCGCCGCTGCCTCGCCACAGGAACTTCGAAAATCTCTCCCGCCCGTCGGACACGCCCTTCGCCTACCGCGAATCGAAATCCCGCGGAAAGTATTTTTCGCGCGACTCTTTAATCTCCCACGAGTTGGAAGAAGTCAAGACGCTCAACAAAGAGCTCCAGAGAAAGTTCTCGAGCGAGTGCGACGTCCAAACTCATAATCAGGGCAGTGAAACTTCGCCCGAATACCCCGCCGTCTTCTTCAACGAACATTACATATCGGACATTGACGAGAACGAGGAAATTAAAGAGTTTTCCATAGGGTACCGTACCCCCGAGAGACGGTACTCGGACCAATCGGATCGCAGTACGGCCAAACTGAGCGATTCCCAGAACTACCAAAGCGCTACGCTACCCTGTTCGTTCAGGAGCGTCGGCGGGGGGCGTAACGTTGGGGGCCTTATCAGTGGTAGCGTTTCTTCGATTAAGAGTTCGGATTACTGTGCTTTCGCGCCGGTTGCCTGTCATGTTAAGAGGGTGGAGTTTAGCGGTGATAGTACCGGGAAGGTGATTAAGAGTCCCCAGAGGACCGTAGTCAAGCTGGCTAAGATCAGGTGAGTTTGGTGTCCGAGGTTGGGCGTTGGACGGAGGAAATTAATTGCGGATTGCGTGACTGATAACTCATTTATTTTAATGATATCTTTACAACTTACAAATGGCAATGTCACCCCGCTTAAAATTTAACGTTCAAACTAATTTATATAACGTTTATTTATATCAGTTTATATTTCCGCGCTGTACGGTTTCGCTGTTTGACTGACTGGCCAGCGAGCGGCGCTTCGCTTTTGTAGAAGCCGCAATATTATACAGGATGGGTAATCTTTAAACTGGCAATTCAAAATATTATTTTTTATTGCTTCTCGTGCTTTTTCATTTCTTAAGTATTTATAAAAGAAACTGGAAAATATATCTTGAACTTTTTAAATGCAAATATGTTAAAAACCGGTCTAAGCAAGTGTACTTTCTCTATGACAAATGTTTTTAGATTTCCACATGTAATAGCTATTAGATAATATGGTGGCCCTGCTGCAGTAAAAACTGATGCGCCGCAAGCGGCATTGGTAGTTTCGTAAGGAAGGTAGTGAATTTCCGCTCATCCCTCTACATTTCATCCACTAAGCTGTCCTTTGCGTTATTTTCTTTCTAAATAGGGATTTTCTCACACTTCCCGAACATTTAACGAGAACGAGGCACTTTTTAGGAGCAAGCAGTTTAGAGATTGCCTATATAAATGTGTGTTGCGTCTGCTAGCCATTCAGAGATAAACAACAACTGATGTCGTACTTTCTATTTTCCTTTTAAAACTGAATTACACGCTTACACATTTGGTAATTTTACAAGAAAAATTTACAAAATAATACTCGCAAAATTGGCGCGTAGCGTATCACGCTACCGTCTTGTCACCCCCACAGTTACCCACTTCGCCGTTCTCACTCGTCTTCTTATTAACTTCTGACAATACACTTTACCACAAACACAACTGGGACAAGGTATTGGGCGCACCACAAATGAATCATCCTGTATATTTAAAATACTTTTTTATATTACCCAAATGGGAATTCGTTAGTATTATTTAAGAGTTTAAAATTAAAAACACCAGGTGCGACAAACTTGCTCAAAGATTTTAAAAGAAAAATGCGAGATGGAAAATGACATGGTTGAGGTGCCTCAGCACAGATGATTGCTGCTTACATTAGTACGTCGCAACGCGGAAATTGTTAACAAATACGACAACAGTAGTGGTGCGGCAAGGTCAAAGGTTATCTATCTTTATTTAATAATAATCTGTATTTTTTAATAAACTATTATGCATTTGTGACGTCCAATTTACCTATAACCCTCTTCAAGGAATCGCACTAAAATATCGACTCTCTTTAGTTCTCAGAACGACGCGACGGTGACCTAACGCACCATATAAATAAATAAATAGAAATTTAATTGTATTTTTAAAATTATTTGGGTCAATTGACTCTTCAAATTTGACCGGTTAATTCCACAACCCCAGACAACAGCGTGTTGTTGATTTTAATAATCACGGTATATGTTTTTTTGTTTTATAAATATATACCGGGTGAGCAGAAAGTAGGTATAATATACTCCATCGTATTTGTTTTTATAGAAAACTTTCCCATAAGAGTTTTTAGATTGAATTTTAAAATAAATTTATAGAAAGCAAAAAAACTGCTAAATTCAAGTTACCTAAACATAAAAAAATTGAGGCCAACGGCAAAAAATTCAAACTGACAAAAAGTGATAACTATCGTCACAGTAAGACGAATATTTTAGTATATATTTGATGCATTAACTTTGTAAGAAACTTTATTTAAAAATATATATTTCAGACATAAAAATTCATTTCTGCCAAGATTAGTTAGCTGCGCTGCTTTAGGTGTACACTTAGAAAAGCTCAACAATGCACAGGGTGAAACAAAAAAACGTGAAATAGAATTGGATTAATTTTGAAAAATACTCAGTTAAGAAAAGCTGTTTTGTAGACTCTTATAATTTGAATGTTTTCAATTAGTAGTGAAAAAAGTCAAGATTGCATTTCTCACTAACTTAACGCATATTTCTATTCTTTTTACTCATGTTTTCTCATTACGGGAAAATATAAAATTAGAAACAAATCGTGCAGATAAAAATCAGATATTTGGATTCATTTAGCATTTTCATCCATCCCCGTATACAAAGGTTCACCTCGTTGTGCTTCTCGACCTTGGCATACCGTCCGTATACCGCCGGCAATTATTTATACCGGGCAAAATCGAAAAACAAACACTTATTAATCCTTCGGGGTAATAACTTACGCCCCGTATCTCATTTAAAAATAAAAATCGGGCGAAAATAATAAGAAACCCGTCGCACCATAAATAAATCGATTAAAACGCAATTTCGTATCGAACGTATATCTGCAGCGATAAACCAGTTTGTCCGTTAAAGCAATTTTGCAATTACGTACGGTATATATAGGTGTATCCGACCAATCGTACGTCGTACTCCATAGCAGTTAGGATTTGGGATGACCCGTTCGGTATAAGCTCACCGGGCCATATAGTCGAAATTGTAATAAATAAGTAAAATTTAAAGAAAACACCGCAAATAAATAATAAAATAATAATAAATCCGACTTCAGTTATTTCGGATTGAAATTTTGAATCGAGAAGGACTTTTAACTCACCATTTAAAAGGCTCGTCACAACTCCGTGTTAAATTTTTTGACGAAACCTTTATTTTTGTAACTATTAAGATATTGTAAGAATATTTTAGTAACTGTAGCACTGTAGCGCTTAACGATTTTTAATGATTTAATTATTTTTCAGAAACCAGTCAACATCTCTGAAAGTCAGAGTTAATGGAAAATGAGTTACAAGTTCTGACTTAAATAAAACTAACTTATTTTTTAGAAAATAACAGAGAAATTAAGAGAATTTTTTATTGTTGGTGGCCTTTCGGAGTAATTTTTCATACGTACTATTTGAAAAAAAAAATTAGCAACCATTATAAGAAAACATTTAAAATTAATGTTTTAAAAATATGCGAATACTTTTTCTTTTGATTTTTGATACGAATGGTTCAAATAATAAATACATTAATTGAATTAACGTAGCTATTTTTTTCTGTGATTGTTGGTGTTCGTTGAACTCTCAAATTGGCCACGCTGATTTAAAGAAACATGAAAAATATGTCTGGATGTTTACTAGACAATTTCTATACAATTTTACCCTTGGAACCCTTTATCCTAAGCAAAATAAAGCAAAAATGCGAATAACTGAGAATAAAAATAGGGACATTTTCCTACTTTTTACAAAACTCCTGGATTCCTCCTGCTGAACTTGCTGCCAATCATCCTGTTGGCTTCTTCAGAGCTTGACTGAAACTGGCTCGCATTTTACTCTGAACCTGCTGAGGGGGTGGAGCTTAATGAGGGGCATACACACGGTCTCGGGTCACTGATTCCCATATTGATGACAGATAAAGACCTGACTTTCGTGACTGAATTAAAACACCTTACCTCTGCTGTTCTCTCTAATAATTTCCGCATTAAAGATATTAAGCGTTCGATCAAAAAATACACTTCACCACAACCTTCCAATAGCAATGAGACCGAAAAACATCCTACACTTGGCACTGTGGTCCTTCCTTACATTCAAAATCTCACTGACCACATATTAAAAGTTATAAAGAAGTATAACGCCAAAACCAGATTTACCACTTGTTCAAAAATCTCTCAACATCTTCGGTCCGTCAAAGATAAAATTCCACTTGAGATGCCAGGAGTTCACAGCATTCCATGCATATGCGACAAAGAATACATTGGAGAGACCGGACGAAAAATATCAACTAGGCTCACAGAACACGACAAATAAACTCATCAGCTGTTGCCGAACACAATCACGAAACCGGACATAAAATTATATTCGAAAAAACTAAAATTCTTGCAGGTAATCATTTCTTCTACCAACGAAAAATCCTAGAGTCTATAGAAATCTGTAAACAACCTAATAGTCTTTGTTTTGTCCGCGCGGAAACGGACTTTGGCCGCAGCTGGCACAGCAAGAAGTCGCAAAAATTACTCAAGACAGGATCAAAATATTTTTGATTACTTAACTGACCCTACCTCGCTTTTGGTCTTCCTTCCGGAGGGGCCGGCCCGTGCTGCGTTCTCTGTGCCTCGAGTGGTGAGGAAATTTGTTGATCACCACGCGTATGACCGGATGCGTTCAACGGCACTTTTTGAACCACACGATGAGAGCGACCGATTTAGCGCTTCACCGTGATTTTTAGTGGAGCATGCGCCTGAGGGCGCTGGCGGGTATAGATGGCCAGTTAAGTTCAAGAATTTAATACCGCGAGGAAAGGAAGAAGAATAACTTCTTGGTGCTGTACTCGCGGCCAATCGATAAGCTATAGATTTATATATATAAATTCATAAGAAGTCGAAAAATAATAAAACGAAAACTGAACAGTCTTAATCGCGACTCAGGGAATCAGTCATCCGAGACGGTGTTTATGCCCCTCATTTAGCTCCACCTCCCTCAAACAATATGTAAGCAGGTACAGAGTAAAACGCTAGCCAGTTTCAGTCAAGCTCTGAAGAAGCCAACAGCAGTTCGACTCAGCAAAAACCGATGCAGGAGGAATCCAGAAGTTCTGTAAAAAATATTACAGTAGCCTGTGGAAGTTTTTTTGAAAAAAAAGGGACATTTTCGTTTTTTGTTTATGGAAATAATTGTTAACTATGTCAATTTCGTACCAGAATTTTTTTTTTATTATTGGATTGTTTTTGTTGCATGTTTTGGTTAGTTTCCATTTATGCAAAAAAAAACAAAAATGGATAAAATTCAAAGCTCTTCGGGTGGCTGCCAATTTCTACAACTTAAAATGTCGACAGTAGAAAACTACCGATGGAGTTCAACGCGACGACGCGTAATCTCATACCGCCATACCAGCAGCAAGTACTGCGTTTATTGACACACACATAAAAAAAAAACTAGCTTCGTCGACAATAATAAAACAATTTGAAAAGATCACGTTTTACCAGTTTCGAGTGAGA